AAATTAATTATAACTTATAAATTTACATTTTTAGATAAAATGTTACATAAAAAAAATTTGTCAAAAGATCCAATAAACAAAGCCTAAGTCAATAGCTATCCTAGACTAATTTGTATATACTAGACAAATTAGTCTATACCATAGACTATTCAAGGTCAAGTTCAAGGTTAAGATACCCGTAAGAATCACTCCATTATGTGTGACTTTAAGTCCTAAAATGAGTAGGGAACACGCCAGTTGCGCCAATGATTCAAGAAAGGCACTTTTCTCATGGTTGCAACTTGAACAAGACCAAAGACAGGCGAAGGCTATCAATGGCGAGATATTTCATAAAATAAAGAAATGGAAAATTGAGGAAATTCCCTTAAATATACACACACAAGATGAAGTAATAGCTTAAGGTTAAATGCTAAATTTGGTCCCTCAACTTTAGTGAGTTGCACATTTTTGGTCCCTCAATAATTTTTTACACTTTTTTTATCCCTCAACTATAAGAAATGTACTTCGTTAGTCTTTCTGTCAATTTAAACCGTTAACTACGACATGTGGCATTTTTTATAATCTTTTTGATGACATGGCAGAAACAATTTAAAAAAGTGCTGATTTGAAATTTTTTTTAAAACACGTCATCGCCAACTCATAAACTGATTTTACCTTAATAAAAAAATATAAAATTACAAATTTACCCATCTCTTTTTCTTGATCCATCTTCTGCCCCTCTTTCGATCATCTTCTTCCTTTCTTTTTTTTCTTTTTCTTTCTTCCTCTTCTTCTTCTTCCTGTGTCTGCTGGGTTCTTCCTCTGTGTCTGCTGGGTTCCACTGGAACCTAGCAGATCTGGGTTTGAGGAACCCAGTTTGCTGGGTTCCACCTAGGTTCGAGGAACCCAACAATTGGGTTCCACCGAACCCAGCTCGAGTTCTCGGGTTCGATGAACCCAGTTTGCTGGGTTCCTCGAACCCAGCTCCAATTTTTTGTTTTTTGTTTTTTTGTTATATGTTTGTTTGCGAAGATTATCCAAGTTGCAAGTTGCAAGTTGCAGGTTGTGAGGGATTTTTGGATCTTTTTCTTCATATTTTTTAAGTATTGTATAAATGATTTCAATGTTCAAAATGGAAAGAACAGAAGTGGGCAAAGGTGGGCTTCCATTTGTTTGGCTGGAAAATGGTATGGTTTGGGTGTTTGAATGTTGAGAAAATGCTTTAAATTTGTTTGGTTGCCGAGATTTAAATTTGTTTGGTTGCCGAGATTGGTTAACAACAATCTATAATGTGCGTTAAAAGAAAGAAAATTTGATGAAAACATTGTGATTTAATTATAAATTAATTTAGAATTTTAATTTTAATTAATATAAATAATTATAGTTTAA